GGCGCCTTAGCCACTTGAGCCACAGGCGCTGAGCCTGTGCATGTGTTTTTTAAAAAATCTTCATTCACTACCATTTACTTGTAGAAAACAGAAACAGAATTCTGAGTTGGAAGCACTGGCCATGCATAAAGTCTCTGTCTTGTGTTATGCTTCACAGAACTTCTGGATGCCTGCTCCTTCCACAGACATTAGCTGATGAAGGTGGGCAACCGCACAGACGCTGGGAGCCTCGCGCAGGGTGGGCTCACGAGCTCACTTGTTTCGTGTGGATCTGTGTTAGCATCAGTCATCTTTGTAATGCTGTGCTGTGACTAATCGAGAAAAGAATAAATAAAATTTATTGTGTCTTCTCAGAAAACCTCATTAAATGTTTCCAAAGTTTTTGAAAAAAAAACCCATTTTTATACTAAAATTGCACTTCTGCATTGAATAGCTATGAAATTGGACCTTTCTTTTCTTTTTTTAAATTAAATCATAGCTGTGTACATTAATGCAGTCATGGGGTACAATGTGCTGGTTTTACATACAATTTGAAATAGTTTCATCAAACTGGTTAACATAGCCTTCACAGCATTTTCTTAGTTATTGTGTTAAGACGTTTGGATTCTACATTTAGTAAATTTCACATGTACCCTTGTAAGATGGGTGTAGTCCCACCAAATACCCTCCCTGCACCCATCCTCCCCTCTCCCTTCCCTATCCCCTTTCCCCATATTCTATAATGGGTTATAGCTTGGTTTCATAGTAAGGCTGAGTACATTGGATACTTTTTCTTCCATTCTTGAGATACTCTGCTAAGAAGAATATTTTCCAGCTCCATCCATGTAAACATGAAAGAGGTAAAGTCTCCATCTTTTTTAAAGGCTGCATAATATTCCATGGTGTACATATACTACAATTTATTGATCTATTCATGGGTCCATGGGCACTTGGGCTTCTTCCACGACTTAGCAATTATGAATTGAGCTGCAATAAACATTCTGGTACATTTATCTTTGTTATAATGTGATTTTTGGTCTTCTGGATATATACCTAGTAGAGGAATTGTAGGATTGAATGGCAGGTCTATTTTTAGATCCCTAAGTGTTCTCCAAACATCTTTCCAGAAGGAACGCATTAGTTTGCATTCCCACCAGCAGTGTAGAAGTGTTCCTTTTCTCCACATCCATGCCAACATCTCTGGTTTTGGGATTTTGTGATATGGCTAATCTTACTGGAGTTAGATAATATCTCAAAGTGGTTTTGGTTTGCATTTCTCTGATGATTAAGGACAATGAGCATTTTTTCATATGTCTGTAGACTGTGCACCTGTCTTCTTCAGAGAAGTTTCTCTTCAAATCCCTTACCCACCCTGAGATGGGATCACTTATTCTTTTCTTGCTAATATGTTTCAGTTCTCTGTGGATTCTGGTTATTAAACCTTTGTTGGAGACATAACCTACAAATATCTTCTCCCATTCTGAGGGCTGTCTGCTTGCTTTATTTACTGTGTTCTTGGCTGTGCAGAAGCTTTTTAGTTTGATCAGGTCTCAGTAATGTATTTTTGGTGTTGCTTCAATTGCCCAGGGGGTCCTCCTCAGAAATTGGACCTTTCTTGAGAACTCTGCAAAACAAGCTTGACTTCTCTTCCTAAACTTAATTTTACCCAAGAATCAAAACATTTAAATATAATTAAAGCAGCAAATTTGTCTGGAGAAAGCACAAATGGTAATTTACGTGGGTGAAAAAAAAGCATCAGTCTGTGTAGTACCAAGGATTTATACAATAAGCTAAGGAATAATTTTATGTTTATATATATTTATATTTTATATATTTACATATTTTAAAAATATACTTCAATGCTTAAAAAATAAATGTCAAATAGAATCAAATTTTTAGTTCGGATTAATTGGGAAATATTTAAATTATTGTAAAAATCCAATTCTATATTCTTTTATAGTCAACTTGTTTCTTTAAGGCAGGAGCATGAATTTATGTCTGGGCTCTCTAAGTCTATTTCATTGGTCTGGGTATCTTTTTATGCCAGTATTATGCTGATTTGATTGCTATACCTTTGCAATATATTTTGAAGTCAGAAAGTGTCATATCTCCAGCTTTGCTCTTTTTGTTCAAGATTTCTTTGACTATTTGGGGTCTTTTGTCTTTCCATATCAATTTTAGGACTGTTTTCTATATTTCTGTGAGGGATGTCACTGGTCTTTTGGTAGGGAATGCATTGAATCTATAGATCACTGTGTAGTATGGCCATTTTTGTAAAATTAATTCTTCTAGTCTATAAACATGAGATATCTTCCTATTTATGTATATCTCTTTAATTTCTTTTTTTCTTTTTTTTTTTTTTTGAGACAGAGCCTCAAGCTGTCCCCCTGGGTAGAGTGCCATGGCATCACGCTCACAGCAACCTCCAACTCCTGGGCTCAAGCGAGTCTCCTGCCTCCGCCTCCCAAGTAGCTGGGACCACAGGCGCCCGCCACAACGCCCGGCTATTTTTTGGTTGCAGCCGTCATTGTTGTTTGGCGGGTCCGGGCTGGGGATTCGAACCCGCCACCTTAGGTGTACATGGCTGGCGCCTTAGCCGGTTGAGCTATAGGCGCCGAGCCTCTTTAATTTCTTTAATCAAAGACTTAAGGTTTTCGGTGTAGAGATCTTTCACTTCCTTGGTTAAGTTTATTCCTGGGTATTTATTTTTTTTGATAGCTATTGCAAATGGAATTGTTCTCTTGATTTCTTTTTTAGATAGTTCACATTTACCATATAGGATGCTACTAATTTTTGTATGTTGATATTGTATCCTACAATTTTGTTAAAGTTATTATTTCTTTTCTTTCTTTCTTTTTTTTTTCCTTGCAGTTTTTTGGCGGGGGCTGGGTTTAAACCCTCCACCTCCAGCATATGGGGCTGGCGCCTTACTCCTTTGAGCCACAGGCGCTGCTCTCTTTTTTTTTTTTTTGAGACAGAGTCTCACTGTGTTGCCCTTGGTAAAGTGCTGTGGTGTCACAGCAACCTCAAACTCTTGGGCTTCAGCAATTCTCTTGCCTCAGCCTCCCAAGTAACTGGGACTATAGGCACTTGCCACAACGCCCAGCTATTTTTTCTTGTTGTTATTGTTGCAGTTGTCATTGTCGTTTTAGCGGGTCCGGGCTGGGTTTGAATCCGCCAGTCTCTGTATATGTAGCTGGTACAGTAACCTTTGTGCTACGAGCACCGAGCCTAAATTTATTATTTCTAACAGTTTGGGGGTGCAGTCTCTAGGGTTTTTTTTTTTTCCATATATATGATTATGTCATCTGCAAACAGTGATAATTTGACTTCCTCTTTTCCAATTTGGATGCCTTTTATACATTTCTGTTGTCTAATTGCTTTTGCTAAGACCTCCAATATTATGTTGAATAGAAGTGGTGAAAGTGGGAATCTTTGTTTTGTCCTGATCTTAAAGGAAAAACGTCCAGTTCTTCCCTACTCAGTATGATATTTGCTGTGTATTTGTCATATATGGACTTTACCGTGTTGAGGTACTCATCTTCTATACCTAATTTGTTGAGAGCTTTTTTTATCACAAAAGGATGTTGAATTTTATCAAATGTCTTTTTCTGCATCTATTAAAATGATCATATAATTTTGTCTTTTCTTTCTGATAATATATGTATTACATTTATTGATCTACATATATTAAACCATCCTTTCATCTCTGGGATGAATTCCACTGATCATAGCAAATGGTCTTTTTATTTTTTATTTTTTAGATTCTAATAATTTTATTCTGTTCCCTCCCTTTCTCTAACACAACTTTAAACTGTTAGATATGTGTTGCAGTTGTCTTCACCGCATGTCTCTTGCAGTTTTCCAAGTGACATCCAGGCCAACACCAGCGTAGCAGCTTGAGATGCCTGAAACTCCAGCTACAGCACAGGCTGAAGTACCCTGTGAAGAGCACTGTGATGCTGCCGACTCCACTCTTCCTGGTGGTGGTGTTGCACCTCAGCCAGCCTTTTTGTACAGTTTCCAAAAGCCTCCTTTGAGAGAAGTTGGAGGTTGTAAGCCAGGTCAGGGATTCCACACTCATATCAGTTGAACTTCTTTCCAACAAAGGAACTTGTGAGAGTCTTCCCCCTGGGGACTGATGAACTGTGGCTTCTGGGCCACTTCATGCCAATACTGAGGCTTCCCTGGCAACACCCCTAGTCCAAGATAACCGGGATAGAGCTCTGGAAACCACTCCAGCCCCATGGAGCTGAGCATCTTTCTATCAGCAGTTGCAACATGACTGAGGAAGGGGATCTTAGACGTGTGATGCAGCAGGGCTGAATGGACAGAGTGTTGGTATCCAATGTGCATTGCGTGAAACTGACAGCCAGATTTGGGCTCCAGAGAAACTTACTCCTTATTCTCCATTAAGGGCTTTATATCAGGGACTCAGTTATGACCTCTGGCTTCTGCTTTTTCTTCTTGAATAAATTGTGTAGCCAGAGAGGCAAGACTTTTTTTGACTACTTGCCTGTAACACAGAAAAAAATCCATTGTAAGTTGTCTCCCTTGGAATGTACAAATTTAAATGTCCTCCATCTTCAGATTTCTTCTCTGTGGCTGAACTGTCAGTTTTGAAGTTCCCAGAGCCATTGCTGATGGCCGTCCACTTCTGCATTTCTGTCTCAGACACACTTTTCTCTGCGTTTCCTTTCTTCCTGCCCACCTCTACTCCAAGGCTAAGTCCTTTTTCTTGGTTCTCCATGACTCGGATTTTACTTAATGAGCTAATTTTAAGGCTTAAAATTAGTGATTCTATGTCTTTTCCCCGAATCCCAGTATCTTTAACAGCAGTAGGGGCTCCTGAGAGGTGATCCCTGCCTTTGGAATCTCTCTCATTGCTCGACAATGATGTTCTTACTCTTTTAACTTTATCACTCAGATTCTTTGGAGAACTGTAATTGTTACCCTATTGGGTGACACATCTAGTAATTTTACTAGAAGCTCCTGTCTTTGGGGATTAATTTTGTCCAATTTTAGATCAGAAGTGGTCTGTACATTATTAGGTATGGCTGAGGAATATTTTCTTTCTTGATTTGACAAAGAAAGTTCCATTGAGCCAACCAGTAAAGATGCTTCAGTTTCTGAAGGATTATATCTGCTTTCCCCTGATTTAGGCAAATCTCTGGCACGTTATCTCTTAGGAGAGGTGTTCTCTGGTGCATAAAACTGACCCTTGGTT